TTAACGGGCAGCACCGCTGCCGGTCAGTGTTGATTGATACAAAATTTCTTCTAATTATTTCCTCCAAGTTATTTTTTCTATATATTTCCCATTTATCTTTTCTTCTCTTCTCTTCTCTTCCCTTCCCTTCCCTTCCCTTCCTCTCCCTTCCCTTCCCTTCCATCACTTCGCCTCACGTCACTAACTGCACGACTGACCCTCACCAGGCTGACTGAAGAAATGCGACAGCTGCTGCCCTTTATATTGGGTGACTTTCACTCAAACAACAAGTCGTTATCAAATGTTGAGCGCGCCACCAGGTAGGAATCGTTCCACTCGAGCCTTGAGTGACCAATAGAAACACTTTCTGCTGCTTCAAGTATTCTAGATTTATTTTTCTCAAATGTAAGTACCAAAGGAACACTGCTGCATACATAGAGACTACTTAAATGATCTTTTGTTATGTAGATAGACAGGAAGACAAACGAAGAGACTTACGGTGAGATAGACAGGGAGACAGAAAGCGAGACAGATATGCAAACAGACATACAAACAGACATATAGGCAAACGAACTCTCATAGTTAAATACTGTTCTGACGTATCCATATATGTTTATTCAATGGAAGTATGATTAGACCGCAGTTTCTTCTATTCTATAGCTTGCCTCTGCCATCTCATACTCCTTTTCGATTGAATTAATTTCAATAGGCTTGACCACTTTCAAATAGGCTAGATCTAGCCATAAATAGGCTAAGCTGGCAACGCTACTGACGGCATGCACTTTTACAGTAGCAGCGCTGCTAACGTCAAACGTTGCCAAGGAAGCAGCGCTGCTGGCGTCAACGGCTGTTTGGCCATAGCCACTGTTAACAGTGCTCGGTTCTTAGCCGAAGCGCTGCTGTTAAAGCTAACAGTTTAAGTGGAAGCTACGTGTAGAAAGTTGCTCATGTTTTTAAACATATATAAATAATATTATAAATATTTTTTTAAATTGAACAATTTTAAAAAAAAAAAATTATTTATACAAAATAAAAATAAAAAATAAAAAAATTACATATTTAAGCCTGACATATTTTGGTTGAGTTAAAATAAATTCTCTTTATAAAAAAATTAAGCAACCCAAAACCGATTGGTATTCGTAAAAAATACTGAAAAGAGTTGTATGTATATGCACATTGCTCTGTTTCTGTTTTTATGTTTTCTTGCTTACTTCCATGGTCCATTTTTCTATTACATCTCAAACTTGTTATTTACGACCCAATGGCGGAGTTACGAGACTTGCTTTACAACCTCATAAAGTAGAAAGTGGCATCAGCTTCCGTTGGGCCAAATCTTTGATGGCTCTGGCGCAAGTTGTAAGCAAGAAAACTAATATGCATATACTATACGTACACATACGTCTGTACACACACTCACACATGTGAACCTGTCTTGCTCAGCCTTAACTGTACATCTGCTGGTTCGCTTCCCGTTATATCTTATTCAATTTGAATTCTTTTTCCATTATTGACATGTGAAATCTATGCGGGCTGCTGACGCTTTTGGCCAGAGACTCTTGTTTGTTTGCTTCTGCTGCTACTCATGGTTCAAAGGCCATCAATTTATCATATTTTGCTGCTCTGCTTCTTGCCTGTTTAGATAATGAACAAAATCAACATTTATGTAGTTGGTTCCCTTCTTGTTGCAGTTGTAATGCGGTTCATTCCATGTTCAGTTAACTGAGGTCAGCTAGCGCCCAAATGTATGCTTGGTTTTTATGCGACTCGCATACAAATTAGCCTGTTTTTTTACACTGTTCGTGTGGGTGTATAAGCATGTATGCATGGGTGTGCACGTGTGGGCGTCTGTAAATGAACAGGTTATATTTGCATGTACATGCATGCACGATTTTCTGTTTTCAGCCATTTGTACTTTTCTTTGCATTTCATTAACTTTAACTGCAGAGATTGATTTTATTTATTTTTATATATTTTTATGATTTTTATTTTAAAGAAATCTAGTAAATTGTATAAATTAATCAATAATTTTCATATAATTTAATGTATAATAAATGTATTTGCTTTCAATTTTTATATTATTATTTTTTTATTATTATTATTTATTTGTTTACTTTATTTTATTTTTTATTTTTTTTGTTTTTATATTTTTTTTTATAATATTCAAAAGAAAAATAAAATGTATTATTTATTTAATGAAAATATTAATTTTATATAATTTATACATATAAAACTTACAAGCGAAGCTGAATAACACAAAAATTCCTTATTTATTGTTATACAAACTATACTGAAGCTTAAAAGTTAGCTCCTATAGATTCTGAGAATAAAAAAAAAACTACCACTAACCAGCCCTTTTGGCAAGCTCTGTCTATTCAGATCAACACATTATATACTTATATACTCAGCTCCGACACCTTCTGCATTTTACATTTTTGCATTTGCAATTTTCAATGCTTTCTGAATTGAAGAAACCATTCAGCAGACAAGCGCCCAATTCCAAATTGCAATTCGGCAGACATAAAAAACACTTGTTAAAGGTTTTATTGCTTGAAGTGAAGCAAGCTTCTCTGCAGGGAATAAAAAAGCTTTAATCAAAATTTGGCGGCGACAGGGCGTTTTCAGTGGGTGATGGCGCTGATATGACACATCAAGTGGTTTATAAACCACAACAAATGTCATAAGAATTTTCGCTGTTGGTTGGCAAAGTCAACAAGATTTAAGCAACATTTTGTTTAGCACATGCAAGCCTCAGACTCAAGTGTCAGTTTCGAATCGCAGCCTTATCCTCAGCCTCAAGCGCCTACCCAAACTCAAGCCTCAACTACAAACCTCAAGTCTTAGCCCAAGTTAAAGCCTCAGGCCTCAAACCTAAGCCTTAACCCAAGCACTAAGCACCTTGCGTCAAACTTCGCCTCAACTTCCAACCTAAAACTCAAGCCTCAAACGTGAACCCAAAGCCCAAAAACTCAACCCAAACTGAAGCGTCAAACCTTAACCTAAGCCTCAGCTACAGCCTCAAACTTCAAACCAAACACAAGCCCCAAACCTCAGCCTCAGACTGTGTCTGGGTTATAGGCTGACACTTGAGCTTGAGCTGAGCTTGGGCTTGTTGCTGAGGTCTGAGGTTGAGTTTGAGCTTTGAGGTTGTGGTATACGACTGAGGTTGGATGAAACTGTAGGGCTTAATCTTGGGCTGTGGTTTGAGGCTTAGGACTGAAGCTGATGCTTGAGTTTGAGGCTGAAGCTTGTGTTTCGTCTGAGACTTAAAGCTTGAGGTTTGAGTCTGAAACTTTAGTTGATGCTGATGCTTGAGAAATAAGACTGCGGCTTAACGAAAAGGGTTGCAGAAAAACATATTCATATTAATCTTTTTTTGTTAATGCTGTTAATCATTTAAATAGTTTTTATGATATTTTATTTATTTATTTATTTTTCTGCGAAATAACAATTTTCATAAATATAAAACATAAGAATATGTTAGATTGAATTCATCTGTTGTTCCACTTGTCCAAAATTCATCAACACTTCAAATGCCCGACTAACCAGAGCTTCATTTCCATTTGTGTGCCATCAATTCCAGGCCATTTGGCTAACCACAGATAAAATAAAATCAAACCCGAATTCAATTCAATTGATTGACAAAGCATGATTGACAGAGCGAACTGAAATGCTTCACCATTTGAGAATTCATTTTAAGTGCTCCCGAAAACCGGAATCAAAAATAAAATTGAATTTCTAGGAATGTAAGATATGCGGTTAAATGAGGTCTGATACGATTGCAGAACTGATTGGGTTTTTGGGGATTAGGTGGAAACGAATCGAATTGAATATATTTGACAAAGTGCAATTGACAAGATAAATGCACTTTGGACCAATTTTAGCATGTGCATTCCAATTGATATAAATCATTGAAAATTTACATGCTTGGCTCGAAGATCCGATTGAAAGCATTTCGGGTTGTAAGCATAAGGCGCTTAAAAGACGTAGAAAGGATAATGCAAAAGTGCAGTAAAAACAACAAACATACAAAAATGAGTAAAGGTGGTGTTCTAGGTTGGAGTAGCCGACTAGCGAATATACTGAATACCCGGAGTAGAGCTGGCTTTTCTATATAATTGAATAACTTTTTTCTATTCGTACTTTCTGAATCAAATTGCAGCTTGTTGCATATATTTTCACAAATTGAAATATAATATACAAATGTCAAATAAGATGTCGTATAAGCTTCATCCAAACCACTGCTAGCTAACAAAAGTCAGCTAAATCGAAACAAAAATATAAAATCAGCAAAATAAAAATGAAAAATACTCTTCAAAACAGTCAAAACCAGAAATTACTTTGAAATCAAATGCTTCATTTGTAATTTCGAAAATTCATCTGCGTCAACGCGAAAGCAGTAAAAAACGCTAATAAAATGAGCAAAAGTGGGAGCGAGAGAGCTGCACAAAATGAGTGTTAGCATAAAAGGATTGATGAAGCTCTTATAAATTAACTGAAAATAAATTGTGGGGTAATATAAAGTGAATAAAATGAAAGACAAAGCACAAGCAAAAAAGAACAAAATATTGAATACAAAATAAATATAAAAAAAAAAAAATTATGTAAAGAAAAAAGGAAGAGGAAAAATAAAGTTAAGAAAAATATAAATTAAATAAAAAAATATTTTATTATTAATTACAAATTAGAATTGCATTTAGCAAGGTAATTTAAGAGCACCATCGGAACGATCAATATATACAAATATACATATATTTAACACATAGTTAAATAATAATAAATAAATAATAAAAAAATTAAAAATTAAAAAATAATAAGATAAATAATAAACGTAAACATAAGTAGCTATACGACGAGAGCTATATCGAAATATCTGTTTTGAATAAATATATATACATATATGTATATATATGTATATATATATATACATATATATATACATATATGTATATATATTTAAGGCCAGAACTAAATCGACTTGAGTATTCATTCTGTTTAGTAATATATTGTACATAAATTAATTTCATATCCCAACACAAACATTTGCCTCTAACATATATTCTAACCAAATCATCATACCCTTTTAACTCATATATTCAAAATACCATTTTACATATATATGTATGTTACATGTGTATACATCAAAACTCCACTGCGGCTCATACCAAATGCCTGACCAAATGCTGCAACGCTTTGCCCAGGCAATAAAACCCAAAAAAGGCCAAACAAATCAGCCCAGCTTATTCATGTGTGTGTGAGGGTGCATTAGAGTGTGACCTTGTGTATGTGTGTGTGCACGCCTGAAGTGTAAGTTGCCAGCGAGCCGGCAGAAAGCAGAGCCACAACGTTGTCGGCCGGAAGCGGAAACTCGCGCGCACACACACACACACACACACACAAGAGGAGCGTACACAAAAACACACACACACACTGACGCCCACGGCAGCAAAAAATAAAACCCTGCAAAGACTCGTGAATTTTTCAAGCAGACTCAAGTTTCGCAAACAACAGAGGGAGAAAAAATACAAAAAGTTAAAGCTGGTGTCAGGCTTAATTGCAAACAATTTCAATGGCCTAAGTATATAATTTTTTGTTTTTAGTAGAATTAATTTAAGCATACATTTCACAGGTGTCTGCCACGTCCTAAGCAACTATTGGCTAAAATTGTCTTGACTTTCATTTCTTATACTGCATGAGAAAAACTTTGTAATTTTCCTTTTCGTTTTTATTGCTATCTCTCGGCTATTTTCTTATGCTCTCTCTCTCTCTCTCTCTTTCTCTCTCTCTCTCTTAATGTCTTTCTATCTGGAACTATATATCTTATGGCTCGTTTGCAGGTATGAGCTATTCAATTACGCTTAGCAAAGCAATGAGTGCAATTAAGTGAAATTATGTATGGTGCGAGTTAAGTGCAAATGACTTGGAGATATTCCCAAGCAGACGGTGAGAAAATTTAGTGCGCATGAAAATGCGGAAGAGGAGGTGCTTGAAGTGTAGATAAAAAGAGGTGTTAATTGGAGCAACTAGCTAGAGGAGAGAAAAAAAAAGGAGAGCGCTGGAGAAGGAGCAACTAGTTGCACTGTGAAGCTCAGCTCCATTAAAATGTAAGAAGACTTTGTTTTCTTTGGTAAACTTAATTTAAACAGTATATATGTATGTGAATATAAATAAAATTAAAATATAAGAACTATTTAAAAATAATATGGAGTTAGAGATAACGAAATAATCACTCAAGCAGCGTTTGGTTTAAAGTAGACTTAAAGAGCATATACCATATATTTCAAAATGGCTGAAAAATATTTAATATTAGTTAAAATATAAGTCTTAGATTTATTAGTTTCTTATGTGTATGTTGAGTTTGGTTTAAATATCAAAAGTTTAAAAAATAAACAAAATAGCTTTATAAACAGAAATTTTAACTATGACTGCTAGCTTCCACTACACTTCCAATATATATAAATTAATAAAGCCAGAGAAAATGATTTCCCATTGATATATTGCAATATATTTCTTTGACAAACTTTGCTCTACAATGCAAGCCAACTTTAATTAATGAGAAGGAACAGACATAAGTAAACACCTTAGCACACATTCACACACACATGCAGTCACTCAACAGAGACAGGAAAAATGTCCATCAAGTAATTACAGTGCTGGTGAATCACAATTTGTATGTAGCACACCATCTGTAATATACCAAAAGCAAATATTATATTAGTGGAGGCGAACTAGCATATATTATATGACCGAACAAAAGTCAATACAAAAAGCAATTCGAAATAAAGCAATAGCAACAAGTGTAAATTATAGATAAATATTATGGCAGCTCACAGTTTTTGTAAGGAACAAGATAACAAACAATAAACAGCAATTAAATTACAAAAAGTGCTGAACAAAAAAAAAAAAAAAAAAAAAAAAAAAAAAAACATAAATGTTAACTTAAATACAAACAAATATACAACAACAAAAAATTAATAAAATAATATTTATGCATGCTCAATAACATAATTATTTTAATACCATAAATTTTTCAACCTGAAAATATTAATTATATCGTTCTAGGATATAATGCTTGTATTATTTTTGCCTATTTTTTGCATGCCATGTGCATAGCTTATTACACGTCCCACACGGCTTATACGCAATTTTGGTTTGCAAATATTTACGCAAGTATACATATGTGAAAAAAAGGAGACGAATTTATACAAAATCCTATTCATATTTGCATAAACAAATAGAACTCGTCGTGGTTTCACTGCGCTGACTTTTCGCATATTTAATTTGCTAAATGAATTTCTTGTTATCTGTTTAGCTACAACTATCTGGAATAACTGGATGGATTATGCTAAGCTCCAATAGCTGAAGTAAACAAGAATATTTTTACATTTGCTTTTATTGAAAAAAGCAAACCATATGCAAGTATAAATAGTTATAGCAGGAAATATGTATATTAAAAAAAAAAAATAAAAAATAAAAATAAAAAATACACATATACATAGTAGGGTTGTCGAATAGTTGAAAAATATCTTTTCGATAATATTTTAAGTTTTGAAAAAATATCAATATGATATTTGATATGCAGCTTTAAAAATATCTATAAATCAATATTTTTATATGTATATATATAATTTTTTTTGTTCATTTTTTTCCACAATAATTTAATAATCCGTCCCAAGAAAACAAAAATAATAAGAATAAGTATTCTTTGTTTATTTTTATTTAAAAAAAAAAAAATAAAGCTATTATAGGCACAAATTACATTTCGCTGTTCCATTTTTCTTAAAGTCTAAATAATTCGTTTTCACAATATTCAATTTTTGTACCCTTCTGCTTGGTTATCACTGAAATATATTACAAATATCTCAAAAAATATTTGGGCAAAGAAAATATATATATTTTTCTAATATATATATATTTTTTATACAAAATATCGATATATTGATATTTTTATATAGCTTTGATTATTGCAGCACTAAAACAATTTTTTACTTTTAATTGTATTCAGCTTATCTTCAAAAATGCTCCTACTAAATAATTGAAGGCGAAAGCCACTCAGATGGACTGTGAAAATCGCTTTACTTAATCCAAATGACAGATTATCGAATTGGGTGTCGGTTTTGCGACACAAATGTCCGCGGTGGAGGCATCACAGAAGCGTCCGACGGGGCAGGTGCCATTCACAGTGGTGGGCGTTGTGGCGCCAAAGCAAAAGGCGAACGTCGTACGTGAGGTGCAGGCAAAAACATTGTTCGCATTGCAGCGGCCGCAGCTGTCGGTGTCGCCGCAGCTGGCTGGCGTTTCGGAGCGTTGAAAACAGATTTGCGGCTTATCCGTGCAGACCAGGCCGTCGGGGCAATTGAAGATTTGATCCTGGCTGGGCGTCTCCCGGCCAAAGCACATCCGGTAGGCAGTCTGATTGATGCAGGCCACATCGTTGCTGGCCTGGCACAAATTACAGCTGCTGTTGGCCAGTTGCAATTGCCAGCCGAAGACAGCCAAAACTGTCAGCTATTGACGAGTGTTCGAGTGTTATTTGTTTGTTGTGCCAAATATTACGTATACGCCCAGCACTTACCACACACAAATAGTCTTTCATCTTTGCGCGAAACTCTGCGAATTACAATTGAATACGAAACTTCACGCGCAGCTTGGTTTTGTACGTTTCTCGACTAGGCAATACCTTGACATAAATGGAATTTATCTCTCAGCTTATCTATGGCACAGCCAGAACTTAGTCAAAATTTGCGATTTGATAAAAGAATAAATAACAAACTATGTACAAACCAAAAAATGGTTAAGGCTTGGCCACGTTTTCTTTCCAAAAATATTTCTTATCTGATATTTACTAAACTATAAACTAAATAATTGTTATTTACCTTAAGTACCCCAATTCTCTAGGTCATTTTTATAGAGCACGAAAAAGTGCTGTACTTATATGCATATATATATGTATATATATGTATATATAGAATATAAAGATTATATAGATTAGCTTCTTAGGAACCACAAATGCATGATATATTCCATCTCGTATCAATCTCGTCAAAATAAATAATTTTTAAATAGTAGAGACAAACATCAGAAGGTCTTTGAATAACTAAACATATCTAGATTCAAATATATTCATTTTTTAAATCATACCTAGCATTTAGAGCATGTATTTTTAAAATTGCCACTCTGCGCCGAGTTCAGCGTATCTCCTAGTCCATCACTCCATACCAGAGCAGCTTTACATATTCTTTCGGCTGTTATCCAACACTGACACAAAAATCTGTTTTCTGCATGCTCTACAGTGCAAAATGAAATCTCAGTATTATGGCCAAAGGCTGCAAACGAATCGCATGGCCAATTGTCCATTCAGAGAGAAAAACTTCGCCACACACTAATCATGGCGAGCTCTACGGGCTTACAGTTGCAATTGGAATGAAGCTGCAACTGTTGCAAATGCTGCAACGCAACGTTGCAAAGGCTGTAACTGTTGCCACAGTTGCAATTATGTAAACACAAAATGAAAAAAGTGATGAGGTAATGCATGATAGACTACAAGATAAGCTATACCTTTACTTAAATTTGCAATTTTTTACTTATTTATGCATAGATGATTTAATTCAAACTATACGGAGAGCAGATTCTAAAATAATAATAATATACATAAGTAAACATATATTATAATATTGAAGCTTGAATATAATATAAAAAATTGTTCAAAATCAGATTAATTTGTGCATAAATCATCAATGCCTTAATCAATTCTATTTCCATTTGAATAATCACATTTGATATCCTGAATTTATCTTGTCTACAAATTTCCATAACTGTAGCATATCCCCTCGTCTAGCCATTCGCACTGGGTATTCGTGCCTGAACAATGGCAAATCCGTTTTTCACTTTGGCGGATGCGCATTGTAAGCGAAACAATTGTGCGTAATGGTAAAATTCCAGTCGCAGGTAACAAAAAATCTCCGCATCTGAATCTAGTTGTGAGCAAATAAAACTCTTATGAAATTTGAAATACAATTGCAAAGTACATAACATTCCATTTGACAACTTGATATGAATCATAGCCATATCTGTCAAATATTAGCAGTTTCATAGATTCAAGTTGCTTTTTAGTTGTTAGGAATTCCGCTAAAGGTTCTAAAAACCAACAGAAAGAAAATTTTATCAGAACTACAGAGACTAAGATAAAGTAAAATAATAAAGTGAAATGCCCAGCTAGGAAATATGTTTATAAAGGAAAAAGTCGATGTTTCAAATATAATAACATAGATTTAAAAGCCGTTAATTCCAATCGAACTTAAATTTAAAATTATTTACATATGTGAACACATATATTTAAAAAAAAAAAAAACAAACAAAAACAAAAATCTTTCGATGGATTCGAGGTATAAAAACTTTTTTCTCTAATGCCTAAGCTTATCTATTATTTGTAATTTTTTAAAAATTAATTTATATATTTAGCCAATGCCCGCTTAGTTTATAAAACTCCTTATTCAACAATATACGTAAAAAAAAAAAAAAAAGCTCATATGCCAGCAGCAATGTTCACAGTTGTCTGCAGAATATCTGCTTCTTGACTGTCTCAGCTTAACTCACGCACAAGCACGAGCAGACACACACACACTAACATACACCCTCATAGTCCATCCAATAATCAAATGCTTTAAGCTGAGCACTTTTCGCCCGCTTATTATTTGGCCCAATAAACGTGGCCTAATAAACGTTTTTTCTCTTTTCATTCTTTCTCCTTCGCTTTGTCGAAATAAATCAATGCATTACTTGACTGCTCGTAAATATACAGAAATCAGGCACTGTACAAGCCCCATGTAAGAGTACTTTTCTGTGCTTGACTGCAATTTCAGTCAAGCTCTGGCCAAAATTTGTCCCCGTTCCCCCCGCTGCAAACTGTCATTAAGTACTTTTGCAACAAGCAGCGCCAACAAAGCCGAAATGTAATTTATGCCTTGCCTGCCTCCGGGAGGCGCCCAATTTGCCCCATCTTTATGTAGGGCAGGCCAATTTGTCAAACTTGCCCAGAGTCGAAATTCTAAAGAGACGACTCGAGTGCTAAATGAACTGAAATACTTGCTGCAGATAGTTAGCAGTCACTGTAATTAGATGCACTTGGTATTTCATTTATTTATTTATTTATTT